GAACAAGTCTGTTCCCTGGTCTGTGGTGTGAACTGGCCCCGCTGTGCTGTGTTCCACACAGGAGTGTGGCTGTGATTGTTGTGAGCTGCCTCTGGCAGCTCTGGTCTTACAGAGTTCATCCCTTGAGTTGGTAGTGGCACTGATGGGTCAGTGAGAAAGGAAAAAGAAAGAAAACCAGGAATTTAAAAAATGTTGATTTCATGTCAATAAAGCAAAAACCCACCAAACACAACCTTAGATGGTGCTTTGTTGTTAATATGTAGAGTGTAATACTCGCTGGCTTGCCTGGTTTTCTTGCCAGAGGAGTTTTTCCACTGTGTTGACATGAGTCTTCCTTAATCATGGCTGTTGGCTAGCTCAAGTCTTGGAATTCTGGAACTGAATTTTTCAAGAGGGAAAAAATACTTGATGGGAAGATTATATTTACAAGTCCTGCCACATGTTTACATGGTGTAACTGAGAGAGCAGTGACTGTAAACCAAGCTGATTAAGTCTCTCAGCTTTGCTGCAAACACTTGCTGGTTTTGTGCTGACCTATTCCTTTGGTACTGTGTCAGGATAAAAATGTTTTTTTAACCTGTGATCTCTAGTTTATGAAATTACAGAATTTCCTGCTAGTCCATAATTCCACTCCATGCCTGTTTTTTAAAACTCCTTCATATTGCAGTAAGGAAACAAGCTATAACAAATTTCTGCTAAATTGGTGCCCCATTCTTGAAATTATTACAGTCTCCCGTTTTTTATGCCTCTCTTGGAATTGAAGCAGTAGAAAGAAAGTCTCCTTTTACTGAGGGGTCTCTCCAGGTCACAGTGCTGGATGTTTGTGCAGGCTGCAGATGGGAGACACTTGGCTCAGCTGAGCCAGCTGGTGTGCAGGGCTGGCTTTGTTGTCTCAGGGGTGTGAGGCTGCTGCCTGCTCAGTCCAGTTGTGCTCCTAGTACAAAGCCCTGGAATACAGACAGTGGTGTGTTTTGAGGGGGAAACCAGAGGAAAGAGGATCTTCTGCTACTGGAACATGCTTTTTGAATGACTGTTCTCCATGAAAAGGTGTGGAAAGTAGCGTGCTGGGTTGTAGAATAACACTAGCAATGAAAATTCAGTTCAGAATACCTTTGAATGTAAAAAGAAAGAAAAAAATCTTTTAAACTGAGCCATCTTTCATTTTATGCTTACGTCACGTACTTCAGGAAAAGTACTGTTCAAATAGTTTAGAGATTTTTAACATGCTGGAAAATTTTTATATTCCTATCTATAAAACTTCAGTCTTTCCAATCATTCATTTCAAAAGGTGCCCAGAAGGCATAAAATAGTTTTTCTGTATCTAAAAGTGCAACAATATTGAATTTTTATGTTATTGGATATAGCCTGGTGGTTAAAAGAAAGATTGCATTGCAGCAAGAAACAGACTTGTCTTATAATTTTTCCCTCTCTGTTTGGACATGTGATACATGATTCTAAAACTGCATTAACTAAGATTAGCATGATGGCAAGCATGAAAATTTTGTGAAAGAGGTTAGGGTCATTCCATATTTTAGGGGAGATAGAGGAAATGTTTGTTGTGTGTTTTGTGAGTGTGGCTTTGGGGGGTTTTTAGCCTCACTTTCTGAGCAAATGAAGCTGATGTATTGGGCAGGCCATCCAGAGGTACTTCTCTCTTCCCATACTTTTGTAACACTTGGGAGAGTTTCAATTAATTTGGCAGGAAGGCAGGGTGTGTGGAGGGGAAAGTGCCCTGCTAATTCCTGCAGTGAAGGGGGGACTGCAGTGGGATGTCTGTGCTTAGTGCACATCAGAAAATCCTCCGAGGTGCACATGCTGACCAGAAATCCAGAGAAGTCAGAATCACTGGGTTTGCTGCTCTCCAAACTGCTAGTTTATTTAAAACTGTGAATATTTGCTATGAGCTATTAGCAGGATGACATAGTGGGGTGAAAGACTGAAGTATCCAGAAGTGTGCAATAGATAAGTCCACCAAATGACCACATCTGACACGTGCGAGCTGCCAGAACATTATTTCTGGCTGCTGTCAGTGATGAATTGACTCCTTGATCTTTTCTGTTCACGTGAAGGGGAGTGTAGCATTAAACCTGCATTATATAGGGAAACTGTTGTTTAAACATGTCTTAAAATGGCTTTTGGTGGTCCTCTTTGCAAACACATGCTTCTTCTTCCCAGCACCCCCCATGTTATCCATGCAGGAATGTCCTGCATAGCCCCCGTGTTATCCATGCAGGAATGTCCTGGGAAGGTGTCCTGAGCCCTTCCTGTGATTGGGTGTTCCTGTAAGCCCCTTGAGACTTCTAATTGGTTACTCTGTGAATCCTCCTAAACCCTATAAATGTAACATCCCCAACAATAAACTCCCTCTTGCCTCCTCTCCACGCCCGGTGTCCTGTGTCCCTGCCGGCCATGGGGCCACGTGGTGGGGGGGAGAGGGGAACACCTCTCCCCTCCAGGCTCAGGGCCTGAAAAGACCCCTGGGAAACCCCTGGAGCTCCCTTTCCCCATCCCTCAAAGCGTCGCAATGGTTCTTCAGATGGAAATGGAACTAGAACTGGGCCAGCCCCACGCCGTGGGTGGGGAAAGGGATCCAGAGGGGAGTTCAAAGCAGCAGGAACAGTCCCGTTCGTAGGTGTTGGGGAAACTTTGGGTGCCGTGGTTGTACTCCCCTGACTGGCTGTGACCTTGCTCACGTTCCTGCTCTCTGCCTTCACTGCAGTAACATGTCTGATGCTCTGGCCAACGCGGTGTGCGAGCGCTGCCAGGCGCGGTTCAACCCCGCGGAGAGGATCGTGAACAGCAACGGGGAGCTCTACCACGAGAACTGCTTTGTCTGTGCTCAGTGCTTCCGGCAGTTCCCAGAGGGACTCTTCTATGAGGTGAGTTCTCAGACTGTGTGGAGGGCAAGAGAAATAGCTCCGTTAAAATGCGAGCAATTAGGTGGAAATTCTGGCAGATATAAGAATTTTCGGGCTTTCTTGCGTGTTTAATGTCTTAGCCCTAAACCTCTATTGTTGGGGATGTTACATTTATAGGGTTTAGGAGGATTCACAGAGTAACCAATTAGAAGTCTCAAGGGGCTTACAGGAACACCCAATCACAAGAAGAGGTTAACAAAGGCCAATGGGAAACACCTCAGGACACCTTCCCAGGACATTCCTGCATGGATAACATGGGGGGTGCTGGGAAGAAGAAGTTGCCATTTTTTTGTGGAGCTTCCAACTTAATTTCCCTTTTTTTCTTCTCATATATTCCCTCAGTAGCAGCAAAAGCTGCTCTTTTGGTTAAGAGACATTTCAGAAAGAAAACTAAACGTGTTTCTTAATCATAGAATCATAAAATGGTTTGGGTTGGAAGAGACCTTACAGACCATCTTGTTCCAACCTGCTGCCATGGGCAGGGACACCTTCCACTAGGCCAGGCTGTGAGAAACCCCCTCCAACCTGGCCTTAATATTTCATTAAACATGAGTGCATTTTTGCCTTTATTCTTGGACATTTTGTACCAAACTTCTCCAGTTGGGCACCTGAAATGGATGAACCCACTTAAAAATTACATTGACTTTTTTTTTACAGAATATGCATGAGCACATATTATGAATACACATTATTTTAAGTGGGCCGTATTTTTTTGGCACTAGTTTTAGCCTCGTGTAGTAGGAGTAGTTCTGAACTAAAGTAAAGCAAAAATTAAATTAAAGGCAACTATGGTAAAAGGACTTTGGGATTCTTCAGGATTTTTACTGTCTTGTGGCAGCATTGCTGTTAATTTAACTGTTTGCTGTGCTAATCCACCACGAGACTGAAGTTGTATCTGGATATTTCTTTAAGAAAAGCCTTTAGGAGTTGAAAAACAGGGGTGTGTGGGGGCTAAAACTGGAAAACTTGAGTGACCTTGACTAACTGGTCGTTTCAATGGACAGTCATGCTGAACTGTCAAAATGTAGAAGTAGTTCAATTATTCACGAGGGCTCCTTCTGTCTTGTTTTGTTTGCAGTTTGAAGGTCGGAAGTACTGTGAGCATGACTTCCAGATGCTGTTTGCTCCTTGCTGTGGGGAATGTGGTAAGATGTGGCACATGTCAGCACCGTGGGGTAACAGCTACAGGGCTGTGCAAACCTTCCAGCATTGCTGTGACATCCAGCCCTGGGCTGGGGTTGTTGAGGTCATTTAAAGGAGCAGGAGCTCTGGATGGAAACAAAGCATGACAGCAGCAGTGATTTGGGGTATCCTGGTTGTAGGAATAATTGGGTTTTCTTCCAAGTTAGACTGTTAATTGTACTTGTGAAATTCAAGTGAAAGGATTATGAAGGCAGTAGATTTTGATGACTGTTTTCTGATGCATCTCAAGCTGCTGCTTTCCTTTTGCAGGTGAGTTCATTATTGGACGTGTTATCAAGGCAATGAACAACAACTGGCACCCAGAATGTTTCCGCTGTGAGCTCTGCGATGTAACCCTTGCTGATCTGGGCTTCGTGAAGAATGCTGGCAGGTAAGACAGAGAAGGAGCTTGGAAAGTTTTATCAGTGTGTTATTGATACAGCAGTGAGATGCTGAGAGTGCTCAGTTAGTTGTGCACAGAGGAAAAGCTTGAAAAGGTACAGGAGAAGCTTTAAGGAATAACCTTTTATATGGGAAATGGAATGAAGAACAGTGTTCTTCATCCAGTGGAACATGTAGAAACTCAAATTTTAGTAGCTAGTGGATGGGTTCTGGAAAAGAAAGGGATTTCAGGCAGAAGGAAGGGATTTCAGGAAGAAAGCTGAATAGTACATGAGAAAAAGGAATTATGTGATCCCGGGCAGACTATTTATCAAGTAAGCTGCTGAGCAGGAAATCAGGGTATAGAAAAAGGCCAAGATGATCACAGCAGTCTGTTCAGCATGTGATTTCACTGGTCTTCAGAAATCATTCATTTTATATCCAGAAATATAAAAATGAGTCATAGAGGTCAATTAATACATTTAATTAAAAAGTAAGAAATAAAAAGACAAAAGAGAGCTTATACAAAACCATTCCATGATAGGAAAATAAAACAATCCAGCAGTTAGCAGACAGTGCACGATTCATAGTTTATTTAGGCTTTCATATGTCATGAGCAAAGCCTAGTAGTTTATCCTAGAGTTTATATTTTCACTAGCTAAATGGTGAAGAAAGAAAGGAAAGGTTATATACTTGTATCCAGTCCAGCAGGGAGTCCTCTCAACTCCCTCTTCCCTTCCATTCTGTATGCAACTGCTGTGCCTTCGTGCCAGTTGGAGCTGGGCATCATTGATTTTTCTTTGACACCTAAGCTTGTTAGAATGGGCTGTTGGGATAGCACTTAAGATGTTTTGGGAAAGCAGTTAGGATTGAAGCAGTTCAAGCAAGATAAAAGTATGTTTGATTTCATAATTTGTGGGCCGAATCTACGGTGGTAAAGAGCTTATAAAAATGTATTTCACCTCTCATATGATTTCCTAAAATATTTATCTCCATAGCATTGAAGCAGTCTTCTAGTAAATATTATTGGAAACTGTTGCATTCTTTTTCACCCTTCTTATTGTACCTGGTCTTCTCTAGTCTGCTTGTCAGTTCCAAGCATATTCTACATGATGCAGTTTGTATTAGTGAAAATAAAGATAATCCCTGCGTTATCCACAGGGAAGGAATAGTCTTGCTAGATAAGTCACAAAAAAGTTGTAAAACCATTTTAAAGATACGAGTCTCTTCTGGACCAAGTAGACTTCACTTCTTCAAGCACTTACTTTTCTTCACTTCTGCCATTTGGGTTCATATTTTTTACAATTCAGTATGTAGCAAACATGAATGCTGTATTCCCAAACAGCCCTTTTCCACTCCTCAGTTTGAGGGTTATCAGGATATCTGGGGTTTTGCAGGGAACTGCATAAAAGAGACAGTGTATTAATGTTGTCCAACCTCTGTCTGCAGCTTTGAGACAATGGCAGAGTGCAGATAGCGAAGGTAGTGAGAAGTTTTGTGCTCATCTCCAGCTCTGAATGGTGGGAAAAATTAAAAACCCCCACATTGTAAGGCCTGTCTTAATTCCAGTCCAGGCTAGGTTCACTGCAGCATTTGGTGGTTTTTGTTTTTTTTTTTTCTTGTCACCATTTAGTACCAGTTTTCTCTCTACTATGTATAAATGCTTTGAATTTGGAGACTTGGGCAAGATGTGCTAGGGTGTTGTTTTCTCCTCAGGCAGGTCTGTCTCAGGAGTGGATCTCTACTGCTGGCACAATATGAAATTTTAGAGAAGGCTGTATGCATTGTGCAGAAGAGTCGTTACTGAGTGCTTTGGGATTAAGTTCTTTGAAAAAAAAAAAAAAAAGGTCCATTTTCCTCTTTGCCCCTTTCCCTGTTCCTAAGTGCTCAACCCTCAGTTTCACATCTTGGAAATCAGTAGAAGTGTCCTTCTGTTTGCAGTTTCAGTAAGACAAGCAGATGTGATCTCTGTTGTCAGAGGAGTTCTTGCTAATTGCAGTCCCACAAAACCAACAGAACTTCCCTTCTCGGGCTGAGTTTGACTCTGTGTGGACTGTCTCACCAGCTATTTGTGCTCTCAGCTGCTTTTGGTGGAAGTGAGTGTCCTTAAGTCAAAGCAGTGACAAGAGTCACGTTCACAGTTCAGATTTAGCACTTAGCGAGCTTTCATTTGTCTTACCCTCGTATGTTTGAGGCAGCATTACAGTCTTTTTAATGCAGAACAGGTTGCACAAAGCCTCTCGGAATTTCTCAGCTACGAAAAAATACATGACTGGGTCGAAGGCCCCGTTGAGACTGGTGAGGCAGGAGGTGACACGGTTGCTGAGGGCCAGGATTCGCTGTGTCTCACAGGAAGTTTTGGTGCCGTTGTAATGGAGAATGTAAATGTAGCGATTGACGTGATAAGGTACAAAGCAAATCAGAAAGATCATCAGGACCATGATGATCATTTTGACAGCTTTTTCCTTCAGGTGTTTCTCAACTCTGTTCCCACTCTTCAGGCTTCGGATGATGAGTAAGTAGCAAGTCACTGTGGTAACAAAGGGGAAGGTGAACGCCACTGCCAAGGACACGAGGGCGTGACGTGAGGCCTTTTCTCTGTATAACTGCAGGCAGACGGTTGTGTTTTCCATCTGGACTGTCTGCACACTGAGCAGCAGAGGTGCCATTGCCACCCCAACAATGACCCACAGAAAGGCACATGCCACGTGGGCATACCGGGACCTGCGGAGCTTGATGGACTTCACGGGGTGCACAATGGCCAGGAAACGGTCGATGCTGATGCACATAAGGAAGTAGATGCTGGCATACATGTTGAGGTAAAAAAGGAAGCCGGTGAGTCTGCAAGGGATCTCACCAAATGGCCAGTGGTTACCAGAAAAATGGTACACCAGCCGGGTGGGAAGTACCAGCACAAAGGACAGGTCAGCCACAGCAAGATGCATCAGGAAAATGTTGGCGGGTGTGCCTGACTTCTGGTCCCGAAGGAAGAGCCAAAGAGCCAGGGCATTGCCAGCAAAAGCCAGGATGAAGTCCAGGAAGTAGAAAGTGGCAAAAAGGATGTTCTCCATGTGTGTCTCTTTGCCACATTGCTCTGACGTTTCCAGAGCAAAATTTGATTGATTTGAGCAATTGAAGAGTGGGCTTGAATCTACTGGGCCGTTCATTTTTCCCCACAGTTTTGAAGGAAAAAAACCACCCTAAACCTGAAAGAATTAAGACAGTATATTACAAAAGAGCCTGGGTTTGTGGAACAAACCAACCAACCAACCAGAAAAACCCCAACAAAACACCCAAAAAACTACACATGGAAATCAGTGATGTCTCCTGTTTGCTGGTATTGGTGTTTAATGTGACAGGTCAGTCTGAGTATAAACCCTTGCATTAAAATCCTGAATACCCCCTGCCTGGCTGGGTTTTCCAGACCAGTAATTCCTGTGGAGGGAACCTTAATAAAGAGCTGGCTAGCTGGTGATGGGCTTGTCTCCAACCTGTGCTAGGTCAGTTGTATAACCAAGTAGTGAGATGCTTGTGTCTATTTAAGAGGAGCAGAAGTGAGTTTTGTATGTCTAGCTAGAAAGTATTTGCCATGTTTTAATTTGAAATCCTGATGCAGGACTGAGGGGCTCCTAATGAGTAAGCTTTTCTGAGCACAGGTATATGTTGTAAGGTGACCTAGCTTAGAATATCTGTCTTGTTCCTAGAAGAGATGGAAGACAGGTCAGGTATTGTTTTTATTAAAAAAATCTGCAGGGTTCCTGAAAATCTTTGAGGATTATTTTAGTCTAAAGTCCTGTATTTAAGACAAATGCACCTATTTCCAGTATGGTTGGAAAGTTTTCAAATGGGTAGCAATATCCCATTTGACACTGAATTGACTTAAAGATTATTAAATAATACCCATGCTGTCAGTCACTTGTCAAAGTGCCATCCTTCCCTACAGCATAGCTCTCTCTTTTCCTCCCTCAAAAGTCTGAGCTTCATGTAGCTTATTCAGGGCCTTTTCCAAGTAGCAGCTTAGTAAAACTGAGCTTAGCTTTGCCAGTCTGTGTTTGCAGTGTCCTGAACAGCATCAACAGAAAGTGATAAGATTTTCTGGGCACCTCCCAATGGCTTTTTATACATTGCTCATCAGTGGGTGTAGGTGGTGGGAAAATGCAGGCCATCTGAAATTCCAGCATTCTCTCTGTTTCTTGGATTCCTCAGAGGTGTTACAGTATGTGCAGCAGTACCTCCATTGTGCTTAACCTTTGCATTTTGTACTGACTGATCATTTCTCTATATTATTCAATACATCTTTAAATATATCCAGTATACAGTGCATCCAGCTTCCCAACATAGCTCATTATTCAGATGTCTAAAAATATTGGGATAATCAAGAAACTGAAATGGGATTAAGGACAGACAAATATATTGGGAAATGTAAGCAAAATTCCAGATAATTAATTTCTTTTTTGGCTGCTGTTACTTTCAGGGGAACAGAAAACTGCAGTAGCTAGAGGTTAATGTGCTGGACTGTTTCTGTTTGATTCACAGTTGAAGAGGCAGAATCAACAGAAGGGGGACTGAATGAAATTCAGAAATTGAAATTTCTTCCTATGGCCACAGAGGGCCCTTCTTACTCCATGCATTGCCTGGATATCCTTCCAGATTTGAGTCTTAATAACAAGTTATTATCTTGCCATTACTTGCAACTGCATGTGCAAGGAAGACTGTACAGCCCTTATGTCCAAGGGCATTTTATCCATAAAAATACATGTGAAATCCTGCTTTCATGTACTAAAGGAAAATGCCCTGTTGCAGGTTTTTTGTATGAAGCTCATGGGTTTGCAGAGAAGCCTGCAATTTTTTGTTTCTAGTGTTCCTTTGTCCCTTACCAAGTAAGACTTGGAAGTATTCTGGAACACAAGAGTTTGAAGTTTGTATGTGATGGTGATGTTAACTCAAATACTTGTCCTCCCTGGATGGAATTAGTTTAGGTATGTGTTTTTCTGTTGCACACCAAAGGAGAAACACAAGACCATGCCTTTTTACTTTTAATTTACAATAGTGCCTATCACCTCATGTTCTTGCTATTAAGCCTTTTTTTGTGTCAGACCTGTTGTTTAATTGTGCTTTTCATCTGCAAAAAAAGTCATCAGGTGATGTTGATGTACACACCTGTCAGTGGTGGGGTGGTCTGATGACTAAACATTACTGTATCCATGGCTGTGACACCTGAGCAAGCTGAAAAGGCAAAAGCAAGGGTTGTCTAATGGAACAGACTGGGGTGGCTCTTATTGAAATGATTTAAATCCGTTCAGGAAGAGAAGCAGTAAGCAGAGTTTTCCCTCTTTGCAAGCTTGTTAGGGGTTTAGTAGCATGATACATTGAACTGATTCTGTTTGAGCCAGGTTCCTGAGGAGGATCTTGGGGATTCAGACTCAGCTGAGTTTCAGTGCCAGACTTGGAATAGGCAAGACTTGAAAGTTGAGAGTTAAATCCTCACTGATGGCAGCATTGGGTCTGCCATGAATTTCTATCCAGACATGGCTTTCAGTGCAAAGTGTTGTGGGGTGGAGTAAAAAGGAGAGTGTCAGAGGTATCTAAGAAGCCCACTATGTCAGTATCAGGAAGAGAGAGGCTTAGAACTACTGATAAAATTGAAATAAATTCAGTCTTTGCAAATGAGTGATTCGTAGGAGAGCTGCTCTTACCCAATTTACTTTTGAGAGCAAGGTGAAGGAAGATGTTTTTCACTATCTGATTAGAAATCACAGAAAAGGGAATTGGTCCTCCTTCTAATTTTGTTTATATTTTAAATTAGAAGGAAATGTTAATTAAAGCTTTTATGTATTTTACAATTCTGCTTATTGGGTGAAAACTGTGGTGTAGCACTTGAGTAGGTTAGGAAAAAAGCTGATGTCAGTAGAATGAATTGTTGATCTTATTTTTAGAATTTATATGTTTTCAACAAAATGCTGCAATTTTATAAAAGTAATCATTCTCTGACCAGTGTGTTCTGTAGACAGTGTTGAAAGCCCCCTGCTGTTATGTGCAGTTCCACTTCTATTTTTCTTGGTTTTTAGGTTTCCGTTTTGGATTTTTATGCTTACAAAAAAAGCACTGGGAGTCCTAGAAAGCCTGTCGTACTAGTCTGTATAAATGCTAGGAGCAAACTGGAAACCTTGCCAAATTACCTAGAATGTGTAATTTGTGTTAAGCTATATAGTGCAAGAGGCTGTGACTCCACAGACTCCTTTAGGAGTCTGGCTCATTATCCAATAATTTCCGCTTGGATTGCGCTCTTGGTGTTGTGTGAATATTTAGTGATTTATGTGTTGCTAAACAGAGCACTGTTCTGGAAGGGGCCATTATCCCAGGCCTCCCAGGGCTGAGCTGTAATGGGAATGTCACTGCTCATTCCAAGTGTATGCACAGTGACCATATTTTATGCCCTGTTTCTCTTCTGCTCAGAAACAAGCAAGATAACAATCCCCAAGGCTGTCGGTGCGGACATAACGCAATCACTCTCACAGCAGATGCTCCATCTGCCATTAATGAAACAATTAACTAGCAGAAGAAATCTTTAGGTCACCCTGAGTTAGTTACCTGGCTAGTTCAGAGCTCTGTTAGAACACCCACTGCCAATAAGTATGAACTCTACGTTAGGGTTTGTGGTGGATATCAAAAATTCCTGTTCTTGCCCCCAGCTGCTGTAGTTTCTGGTTTGTGATTACACTGTTTTGTGTGTTGTTATGATTATGGATTTAGTGTCTTGTCAAATGGGAGTGCCTCCTATCTTTCACTCAGAGTACTCTTCATTAGAAAGACTCTGCTTCTGACCGAAGTTATTCTCCTGAAAATCACTCCCTGCTGAGACCATCACCCTTCAGCTGAAATACTTGGGTTTTGTGAGCATCAAAGCAGTGTCAGAGAGCACTGGACATACCAGACAGCTGGCACAAATGGATATACATTAGGTACAAAAGTTTGGAAACTTTTTTGTTTTGAAAGAGCAATGTAAAGAAAGACAAGGAAATTAATCTTTGAAATTCAAAAAATGCTGCCTTATTCTTAGGTTCAGACATTTACATTATATTCAGCCATCTCATTATGTGTGTCTTTGCTCCTCACTGGCTAAGACTAATGACATTAGGAAAGCTCCTAAAAAATGCTCCTGAAAGAAGAAAGCTCTTAAAGCCCCTTCTAACAGAATTGTGTCTCTTACCTCTTTACAGTGCAGTCCTGTGGGGGGAGTATAGGGTCCTTTTGGGGAAAGTCTCAAGGAATTCCTCCTGATGACAGCAAACCAAATAGAAGCAGAACCGAGAAAACGAGGTGATTCCAAAAGAGTGCAGAGTTGCAGAGTTGCTGAGGGTGGAGAGGGAGGTCCTCTATATAGTGTCCTCCTCGCTCTGATAGTGCATTATCAGCTCAGTCACACAACAGAGCAGGGGAGAGGAGACCTCAGCACTGAGGAGCAGTCTTCATCCCAGCTGAGTTCTTGGCACTGGGAGTGCTGCTGCCTGTATAGATATGAATATCCTGCATGAATATTCCAGTATTCATGGTGCTTACTGAAGGCTGCTACTGAACTCCTAGCCGTGAACACAGACTCCTTGGAGTCCCCTGATTATTTTAGGAGGGTGGAGAGAAGCATTGTTTGTGGGAAATCTCGTATTAATAGACACAACAGGACATTTCAGAATGGGATAATTCCATAATGGTGGGAGTGGGGAGGGGTAGAGGGAGAGGGGAGGCTGCTATGGCAACAGCTTAGCCTGTCCAACACTTCCCTTTGCTTGCAATAGAGGAGGGTCTGTGGGAGGGCAGAGGGTTTGTGAGTGGGGAGGGGGTTGATAATGGTTTATCAGTGCAAATGGCTGAAGGCATCTCATTCAGCTGAGTGAGAGGGGTCTCTTTCAGGACACTTGCTTCGGGGTCCCCATGTCCTGCCCTGTATAATTACTCTGCATTTGACAGTACTGAATAAAATTGATGCCTTTATGCTGAGATGAGCACAGCTGCATATTTCCCTATAATGGGGTGCTGTCTGCTTTTTCTGGACTCTGTCTGGGCAAACAGTAGTTCCAGCCCTGGACAGAGACAGTTGCTGAGAGGAGGACTCAGATTTTTAAGAGAATAATAATGATACTTAGCACTTAGGCAGGCGCCTGCCAGTTGAGGGTCATAAGTGTTTGAGGTCTCACAACAACATCTGTGTTGTATTCTTATCCCCATTTTACAGATCTAAGGGTAAGTGATTCATCACAGCAGAGTTTTGGAGGAAGAACACACTGCTTCATCCATAAATCTGCCCTTTGCATTTGAACTTTTCCTTTTGTCTGGTGTGTTTTGAGAATGACCTGTTGTGGGATGATGGATAGGGTTAAATCTAGAGGAGATTCAGAGTTCTAGGGTAAAAAGCAGCTGCAACTCCCTGGACAGACTGAGGTAGACATGCTCCCCAGTACAACAGTAAACATCTGCTCAGAGAAACATAACGGAGTGTGGAACAAAATGGAGATTACATAGCTCTCCTCCATTGAAATCCCAGCAGAATGGGAGAACACTGTGGTACTGAGACCATACAATACCTGTCTGATAAGGGAGAATCAAGATGTTCTGCTGCTAAAGCCAAATACCGTGTTAAACCCCCTCCTCAGATGCCAAGCCATGACCAGCTGCCCCTCCCATTAGGTACACCAATCAGAAATAAAAGGTATTTGTGACTAGAGCCATGCAAACTTCACCAAAACACGAAGAAAATAGTATAATAGTAGGTTGGGGATAGGGGGAAAGTGGGAGAAGACCTTCAGTGAAACTGCTGGGATTAGTTGAGGCACTGAGTCCATCTTTTCCCCTCCCCAGGGGGATGCCTTGGGTGAAAATTATACTTTGTGTCATTAAATGCTGCTTTTAGGACTAGAGCGTGTGTTTGTGCTCACCCTGTAGCATGTTAGTAGATTGCTTGGTGTCAGAGCTTGTGCTTGCTTAGTATATGTATCAGTAGATTGCTTTAAAACATATTTTTGCAGTTAGAATCTGTCTCTGACAACCTTCAAACCTGATTAATTTGTGTTTATAAAGAGGGTTATTCTGTGAACTGTTCAGGTGAGCCTTCGCCGTTGCCGGCAGTGGAAAACACCTTGGCAGGGCCTGCTGAGGGGTCTTGGCTCTGTTGAGCTTCCCCTAAAAGGGTGGTCAAAGTGCCCTCCAACTTTGTGAACCTGTTGGTGAAGGGTCTCGTTACGAGACACTGACAGACTGTCGAACACCAAGGTCTTGACTTTCCTGGGGGTACTGACAGGCAAAAATCTAAACTCCCATCTTTCATGTGACACCTGTAAATCTCAGCAAGTGTTTGACATAGTGATGCAGTGAAAGGAATTAAGCAGGCTTGTTAGTTTTGGGACAAAGCAACCCACAGAAGTCATTTCTCTGCCATGTTTGTTTTATCATAAATTGTTCCCAGCACGCAGCGTTGCAGCTAGAGGGTTAGGTAATAGGCAAAGTAAACTTGAACAGCTTCTCCTCAGAGCTCCTAAATATTGGGATAAAACTGGTGGGTTCCATCAGCTTTTACACAAATTCTTTTATGCCTTTGTCTGAGTTTTTCTACCAGGAACTTCCTTTATCTACCTGTTCAGGGATGTACTTGTAATGTGTTCTAGAACATGTGATAGGAACACAGTTGCATTTACCACACAAAATTGCAAATTGCATCGTTCTTTATTTTCTTTAACTTAGGACTAAAAGGAATTTGTATGTCAAAGAGCCAGCATTCAATTGTGTCTTGTTTGTCCTGGCTGTTGAAGACTAATGAATCCAGCCATGGTAAAGGCATGCAAGCAATGCACTTTGGTTTAATGCTTTTTATTCTCTCTCCTCGACTCCCTCCCAGTGCTGTAATGCCTCTGTTATGCTTGGATCCCATGGTTAGTAATAGAGAGAGGGTGCTGCCACCTTTCCTTGCCCAGCTCTCAGAAAAGATCTAAAGTGTTAGGAAGGACACCTAGAAGAATAACTGTGATATGGGATGTAAATCCATGAATGTTGAAGGAGTATTCTAAGGAAATACAGCTCTGTGACTGCTCTATCCACATATTCTTCTCTGTGCAACTGGTGTGAAATACTGGATACCAAAGTGAATTATGTTTAGTCTGACCTTGGAAGACACTTGTGTTTAATAAAGTACTTCCTACAGTATGCATTGTATGTTGTTTTAAGAGAAAGCATTTTTAATACTTTATTTCCTTTACTTTGTTCAACCAGGCATCTGTGCAGGCCCTGCCATAACCGTGAAAAAGCCAAGGGACTGGGCAAGTACATCTGTCAGAAGTGCCACTTGATAATTGATGAGCAGCCTCTGATGTTTAGGAATGATTCCTACCATCCAGATCACTTCAACTGCACCCACTGTGGGTATGTTCTCATACTGTAAACTCTGACAAAAAAGAAAAGAGACGAACACTTCAGTCAGCAGCACAGTCCTTCTCAAGGTCTGAAATTTGTTGCCTTCACACTGTTGAACAAACAGAAATTGGGTGAGAAGGAATCAAAATAAATTTGGAAAGCCTATAGAAGCTTTAGTTTTATTTTGCCATTCAGTGTTCTCTTATTCTAACCTTGAATGACACTACTTTATAATGAAAATATTTCCTCGAGATGAACTTACCTGAAAGACTGTGTGCAGATTGCCATAGTAGTGTTGTCCAAAGAGAGCAGTTATCAGGCTATTCAAAATTGTTTCATTTTGAATTCCTGGATAGAAAAAACAAAAAAAGAGCTGTGTCAGTGTTCTGGCACAGACCATTACCACGCTGTCTGACCTGAATTACTTTGCCACAAAGGCAGTATAACTGGGGCACAGTAGAGCCCTAGACTGGGTAACAGTACAATTAGGTAACTCAACGTTGAGCACTGCTAGGATAGTCCTTGTACCTGAGCTCTCCCATTCAGAGACAGCTCAAGTCTTAGTCTTAGCATGGCACTGCATTGTTCCATGTGTAAGTGTGCCTTTTATTTCTGCAAGGGTGTGTAGCTGAAGACATGATGTTCTACATAAGTTCTTGTCTGGCAAACGGAGAAGGCAATTTGAGAAAGATGAGTTGACAGTGATTGTATTTCACCAGCTTAATGACTGCATTTGTAGCACGAATGTTGCCTAAGTTAATGTTCCAGTTTAGTCTTCCGAAATTTCATCCTGGGCATTAAAGAGCTTCCCTTAGTGTTCTTGCTTCAGGGCATGTTTGTGTTTTCAGGAAGGAGCTGACTGCCGAGGCCCGGGAGCTGAAGGGAGAGCTGTACTGCCTGCCCTGCCATGACAAGATGGGGATCCCCATCTGTGGGGCCTGCCGCAGGCCCATCGAGGGGCGCGTGGTCAACGCGCTGGGAAAGCAATGGCATGTCGAGGTGAGGCCTCTCTGAATCTGAAACTTCCTCCAGGAGCCAGTTTGGAAAAGGACTAGTGCTATTTGGAAGCTGTAGGTGATCTGTAATGTGTGAATTCCGACAAAACCAAATTGCTTATGTTTCAGACTGTCTTCACCTTTTGTGTGTGACCAGGGCCATCAGGAAAACTGTGCTCTCGCTGCTGTAATAACCTTATTTTTAAAATACCTGAGTTGCATTGTAGAGATTCTTGCAGAATGTGATTCACTGCACAGCAATTACTTACTAATAAATTTCCGTATTTGCTGTGATATACTTAAGATACGTCCTTTCCAATTGCAGTTAACAGGTGCATAAATGTGTTGGAATTCCTGCTGCAGACAGAACCAGTGCAGTTCCTACTGCCTTTTCACCTCACTGTTTCTATAACTTTCAGCTGAGTCATCACAACTTGCTTTGAAGTGTTTTAGTGATTTATGTTTTCAGTCGTTTAAGCCTCCTAGGGCTTGAACTGAGAGAGATGCTGCTGCTCATTTGAAGTGTATTCATATGTTTTATGTTCCTGTTTCTCTTCTCTGAAACAAGCAAGATAATAATGCACAAGTCTATCAGTATAGAACACAAGATGATTGTCCTTCCAGCAGGTCTTCTACCTATCTTTAGTACAACTCTTAATTACTATAGAGACTAAATATCTCCTCTTCTCTTTTGCTTCTGTAAAGATTTTCCTGTCTGTGCTTCATTAAAGCATTAAGAGGCAAGAGTTTTAAACAGAAAGAAGTAGATTTAGATTAGATGTTAGGAAGAATTGGTGGTGAGGCACTGGAGCAGGTTACCCAGAGAAGCTGTGGCTGTCCCATCCCTGGAAGTGTCCAAGGCCAGGTTGGGCAGGGCTTGGAGCAGCCTGGGATAGTGGAAGGTGTCCCTGCCCATGGCAGCAGGTAAAACAAGATGGGCTTT